ATATTTATATACCCAAATGTTTTGCCTCTGTAGACACACAGAGTAGGGTTAGGGAGTGAGCATGCATGAGTGCCCCCAGAGCAAGCGGCTTGCTATGGAGGCACTCGGAGAAGAGGAGGAACCAGGAGCATCAGCAGGGGACCTGGGAAGAGGGAATCAGGGCTGCTCTGTGCAAAACCACTGCACAGAGCAAGTAAGTATAACAACTGAAAAAATTGAACCAACCCCTCTGTCCTATAGCAGAAATACGGCTACAGGTTGGCAAGGCTGCACATAACCACGTATATATACGTGATTTGCATTTCCAGGTACGGGGCACACGCGAGTCCTGGTCGTAGATTCCCCGCCAGTGATCGCCGAGTAACACTGACAGTGGAGAGACCTGTGTGTAAACAACACAGGATTCTCTCCTGCCATCAGTAACATGCTGCTGTGTATTTCTCTGCACAGCAGAAAAATACACAGCAGCAGGGGCGGACTGACAACTCATGGGGCCCCGGGCAATAGGCGATCATGGGGCCCCTGTGTCCTTGCCCAAACTCAAAAAAGCCTATGAAAAAGGTACCAGGGTCATCTCATGGGGCCCCCTACTGACCCCCGCTCTCAGGCAGTGCCCGAGTTTCCAAATGGTCAGTCCGCCCCTGCACAGCAGCATGTTTCCCTAGTAAAACAGCACACAAAACATTACGTAAAACAGCACACAGTTAACCCTTTGATCGCCCGAGATGTTAACCCCTTCCTGCCCAGTGTCATTAATACAGTGTCAGTGCTTTTTATTAGCACTGATCACTGTATTAGTGTCATTCGGATGTCAGGGCCAGTTAGTCAGTTCCCGCCGAGTGTCAGAATGTCCACCACAGTCCTGCAGTCCTGCTATAAGATGCTGATTGGCGCCATTACTAATATAAAAAAAATAAAAATAACAATTCCAGTATATATACTGCCATTTGTAGACACTATAACTTTCACGTAAACCAATTACTTTACTTTACATGTATTGGGATTTTTTTAAGCAAAGACATGTAACAGAATACATTTTGGCCTAAATGTATGACGAAATTTGATTTTTTACATTTTTTTACTGAATATGTTTTATAGCAAAAAGTCAAAAATATTGTTTTTTTTTTTCAAAATTGTCTGTATTTTTTTGTTTATAGCATAAAAAAATAAAAAATGCAGAGGTAATCAAATACCACCGAAAGGAAGCTCTATTTGTGGGAAAAAAGGACATAAATATCATCGGGGTGCAGCATTGACCACGCAATTGTCAGTTAAAGTAATACAGCACCGTATCACAAAAAATGGCCTGGTCAGGAAGGGGGGTAAATCCTCTGGAGGACAAGTGGTTAATATTACTTTCAGTCTTGAACAGTTGCACAGAGTCCTCTCCTGTTCTGAAATAGCTTAGTCTGTTTCATGTGCACACTGTGAGCTGCTTACATTGTGCAAGTTGCGGCAAGCTAGATAGAGCCCACCCTATTTACTTGCCAGATACTGTATTGTCCATAATCACATCCTTTCCTTCCCAGCTTTAGTCTCCCTAGCCTGCCCCCCTCATTCTCTGAATTTTAGTTCTTTTAATCATGGAAGCTCAGCGTCACATGTGGGCATTATCTAATCTGCTTACATTGGAGCCTTCCTAAGAATTCCTACTCCTCCAGGCTGTTCTTGGGGTTAGGAGTTAGAGGTATAGGGTTAAAAGCGCATAGTAAAACAGGTCATTTAACTACGTGATTCATATCAGGGCTGAGGGTTCTTGAGAGGAATACAATGCAGAGTGCTGTGATGTTTTCAGGAAGCTACTATAGAGTGCCCTGCCAACCTCTCCCACCAGCCATGTCCTACCTGTATTCCACTGCATAGAGAAGCACGGAGGCCTCAAGCTGACAGAAAGCTGAAGTTAGTCTTTAACCACTTGCCAACCACATCACATAGATGTACGTCGGAAAAGCAGGCACCTCGTGCCGAATCAAGTAGCTAGTAGGTGATCCAACTCTTCCAGGTAAGGGGCACATGTGCTCATTGCCCCAGCTGTGCTGTGATTAGACACAGCACAAGCCGATCAGCAGGTTCCGGCTAATTAATGACGGCCGGGACCCAGTGATCAGTGAAGAGGCTGACAGGACAGAGCTCTGTGATTGTAAACAACACAGAGTCTTGTCCTGACAGCAGAGATGAGCCGGTTTTTGTTTCCCTGCAAAACAGGGAATAAAAACCGGCACGTCCCCTAGTAAAAGCACCACACACTGAACACAAGCACTGTTAGGCATGTAATTAACCCTTTGATTTCCCCTAGATGTTAACTCTTTTTTCCTGCCAGTGTCATTAGTACAGTGTCAGTGTATGTTACTAGCACTGATCACTGTATTAGTGTAACTGGTTCCCACAAAGTATCAGTGTCATACTATCACAGTCCCGCTATAATTCGCTGTTCGCCGCCTAGTATATAAAAAACAAATTCCAGTATATATACCTCCATTTGTTTTTTATTTTCTAAATTGTTGGTCAGTATTTGTTTATAATACCACCAAAAGAAAGCTCTATTTGTGTGAAAAGATATAAATTAAATTTGTGTACAGTGTTGCATGACTGCACAATTGTTAGTTAAAATAGTGCAGTGCTGTTTAGCAAAAAATGACCTGGTCATGAAGGGGGGCGGGGGGTAAATCTTTGTCTGCACTGACCTGTACTGGAACACGGCAAGCACATCAAAACCTCACTAGGATGCATTTAAATGCACCGGAACACAAATTTCCCTATTTAAGATGAAAAAAGAGGGTTAAAATGCACCAGAACACATAAAAACATGTAAAAAAAGCATTGAAAATGCAGCGGAACACATCAAAAAGCATAAAAACAAACATGCAGAAATGCATCCTAACTGCGTTTTCTATGGTGTGAACCACCCCTTACTGTGGCATATGCTTCTGTAGCTACACTGCTGCCTGCGTGCAACATGAAATCAGCATCTGCAGGTGATAGCTGGAAGCGGGCACCGACCATTTGCTCTCTTTGAAGCTCAGTAAGCTCTGACATGACTCTGTATTGGAAGCAGCACACACAGTGAATGGCGAAAGCGAGGCTTCCCACCTGTTAGGTAGGTGTCTCATCACACAGTGGAAGCAAAAGAATGTTATTTCTCTACCACTTACAATGCAAAACATGTCGTCACTTTCACACCTGCCAATCATGTAGTGTTTCCATATTTTTTGTCTAACCCCTGTATATGTAAAGTTCTGTGTAAATTGTCAGTGCCATATAATCCTAATAATAATAATAATATACTCACCAGCCACTTTTTTAGGTACACCTTTTCTAGTACCAGGTTGGGCCCCTTTTGCTGTCAAAACTGCTTTAATTCTTCGTGGCATAGATTCAGGAAGGTGTTGGAAACATTCCTCAGAGATTTTGGTCCATATCAACATGATAGCATCACACAATTGCTGCAGATTTGTCAGCTGAACACCCATGAACCGTTGATACAAGGCAAGATGGATCCATGATTTCATGTTGTTTACTCCATATTCTGACCCTACCATCTGAGTTTCACAGCTGAAATCGAGACTCATCAGACCAGGCAACATTTTCGCAGTCTTCTGTTGTCCAATTTTTGTGAGCCTGTTCAAATTGTAGCCTCTGTTTCCTGTTCTTAGCTGACAGGAGTGGCACTCGGTGTGGTCTGCTGTAGTCTATCTGCCTCAAGGTTCGACATATGTGTTCAGAGATGGTATTCTGCATACCTTGGTTGTAACAAGTGGTTATTTGAGTTACTATTGCCTTTCTATCATCTCAAACCAGTCTGCCCATTTTTCTCTGACCTCTGACATCAACAAGGCATTTTCGTCCACACAACTGCCACTCACAGGATATTTTCTCTTTTTCAGACCATTCTCTGTAAACCCCAGAGATGGTTGTATGAAAATCCCAGTAGATCAGCAGTTTTTTGAAATACTCAGACCAGCCCATCTGGCATCAACAACCCACTTTCAAAGTCAGTTAAATTCCCTTTCTTCCCAATTCTTATGCTTGGTTTGAACTTCACCAAGTTGTCTTCACCATGTCTAGATGCCTAAATGCATTGAGTTGCTGCCATGTGATTGGATGATTAGCAATTTGTGTTACCAAACAGTTGAACAGGTTTACCTAATAAAGAGGCTGGTGAGTGTATGTACAGTATACACACACAGAAGGATGCACTGTACATTTCTTTGGAGGCCTTCTTTAGAGTTTATTACCCTGTTTTTCTACTCATTTGTCCATAGCAAAGACATCATTACAGACACATTAACATCAGCTTTAATTAGGCAAAATAGCTCTTAATATTGACAGTGTATTGGTCAAGTGTGTGTATATATTGTGGTACAATTTGATCGATATTAATGTGCTTTAAAATAAACATGAGGCAATTACCTAATGTGTGTTAAAATATACATGAGGCAAACTATATGTAGACATATAAAATAAGAATGTATTTAAATAAGAAAATCACTCAGGGGCTTTCTAGTTAAGCCAATTTGTTAAAGAAATATTTCCTATCCAATGATAAAGTGATATAGTACAAAGCAACCTATCCTATAGACTAGACTATAGAGCACACGCTGCCATATTAATGTATTCAAAAGGCTCTTTTATTGGAAAAACACCATCAACAAAAGATCTCCTCCCTAACACACAAAACCAATTCAATTATAATCCCCATAATCTTCCCCCAAATAAATATTGGTTCACAAAAAATGGCATTATTTATGTAAATACAGAGTGGAATCTGTTTAATCTTGAGACCAGGGACGGACTGACCATTTGGAAACTCGGGCACTGCCCAAGGCCCAGGGTCAGTTGGGGGCCCCATGAGATGCCCCTGGTACCTTTTTCATACGCTTTTTTGAGTTTGGGCGAGGACACAGGGGCCCCATGATCCCCTATTGCCCGGGTGCCCCATGAGTTGTCAGTCGAGACCCTGGTCTGAAAGGGAATTAACTATAGAATAAATATCACAATAAGCAAAAAAAAAATAAAATAACTGAATGCACATTGCTGATGCAAGACTTTGAATGGATCTACTTAAAGTGGTTGTAAAGGCTCAAGGTTTTCTACCTTCATGCATTCTATGCATGAAGGTAAAAAACCTTCTGTATGCAGCAGCTCCCCCAGCCCCATTAATACTTACCTGAGCTCCATCAAGATCCAGCGATGTGCTTGACAGCCTCAGCAGTCCCGGGTCTCTGCCTTTTCATTGGCTGAGACAGCAAGTGGGAAGCATTGGCTCCCGCTGCTGCCAATCACAGCCAGTCAGCCAATAAGGAGAGCTGCAGCTCCATGTGTCAATGGACATATGGAGCAGCGGTGCCCCATGGCAAGCTGCTTGCTGTGGGGGCACCCTACAGAAAGGAGGAGCCAGGAGAGCCTTTGGGGGACCCGAGAAGAGGAAGATCCTGACTGCTCTGTGCAAAACCACTGCACACAGCAGGTAAGTAAAGACAACTATTAAAAAAAAAAAAAAAACAACTTACGTTTAATATCTCTTTAAAGCAGAAGTTAAGACAAAAATCATTATCTCAGTTACATGCTCCTATATTATCTCTTATAGCAGTGAGCATGGTACTTACTAATCCAAATGTTGAGTGACCACAAGAGAAGAATTATTATACTTACATTTATGATGGCTCCTGTTTCTACCTACCTCTTCGTTCCTGCCCTTGTTATTCATTTGACACTTCTGGGAGTGTCCAATGACTGTTTTCCCCACCACGCACTGTGGTTCCTTCCTCTTCCCTCTACACTACTAGAGGACTTAGGCAGTAGTGAAGGGGTCATTGGATGGAACCACAGGTTAATGGGGGCCACAGACATCAGACATCTGACTTCCAAGCAGGGCCATGGATAAGGGGGTACCATCAGTCCTCCTGTATGGGGCCCATACCAGCAGATGTGAGTTGGCATGGGTGGTGGTGGTGGGGGTGGGGGTTGGAATTACTGGAACCGATCCCCTGTATTGCTCTCTCTGCAGGAGCTGAAAGCTGGCTTCATCTCCTCTCCCTCTTGCAACCTTTAGGCTGCTGCAGAGAAAGCCATACAGGAGATCAATTCCAGTAATTGCCCATGCCGAACCCATCACTGTGCACCATACATTCCCCCCTGCTGCCCTCTGTGTGCCCCCACAATGCTGACGGCTTCCCTCCTTTCCTTCCCAGTGGCAGCTGCAAGCACACAATAGGATCCTTCAGGACAGAGAGTGGGGGAAGGGTCCGTAAATAAGTCACATTTACCAGCCCCTTCCTTTTCTGAATGAACATAATGTGTGAGCGGCACTGATCATTCACTGTGTTCTCTTGTAATTGAAGCATAGTAAACTGTGTTTATTTGGGGTGGCCCTGTCAGGTTGACTGTATGGTGCCCCGTGGTTGCTGCTCCCAAGGGGTTGAATGCCGAAGACATTGTCAAAGATTACAGTACTGGAACTGAGAGAAGGTAGGAAGGTAGATGTGAGTATAAAACCTTGTCTTTACAGGGAAATTTTAGCTTCATTTTATAAGAAATGGGTAGCGTCATTTTAAGGAGCAGTAGCAAATTGTAGAGATCGTCCCTGTGTTAGCTACTACTGCAAGCATGGCCAAATTGTTAGACTGGCAGCAATGAGCAAAGTTATACAGTCCTGACTGGATAACAAATGACCACATCCATATATATCATGTTAAATATTAAAGTTTATAGTTTAAGAAAAATCTATAGAAGATTCCATTGTTGGAGCCAAGTAAGGATAATAGACCTGATTTGGGCAGGTCAAGAACCAAACCATTAAATGCTTTGTAGATTTTGGGAACCAGTAGTTGGAATCTACATTAAATATAAGCACACCTGATGAATGATCCAACAAACCTGGTCTGTCTTCATCAAGTTCTGCAAACCACAGTCCTGGAAAAATGGGTATGCAATTTATCAGCACCAAAGATAAGGGTCCACTGCCAGTTGTATGCACTATAATGAGTTCCGCAGCTGTTAGCACTGTGGAACAATTCATGCCCAAAGTTCACAGTCGAAGCACCAAAACCATTTACATCATTCTATCAGCAACTCAGCTCCCCAACCCCCACTTCCAGCAGAGATGCAGCATCTGAGGGTTAGCTGAGCTGCGGAATCATGGCTACGAGCTAGCAGGGAGAGTTGAGCTGCTGAGTCACTGCTGGGAGGGCAGCATTGATTTGCTTTTTACCTGAGAATGATTGGTAAGGTTGCAATGACTATAGACCAGGGTGGGCAAACTTTTTGACTTGAGGGCCGCAATGGGTTCATATATTGGACCCGGGGGCCGGACCAAGAGTAGATGAATGATGTGTATGTGTCATCCATAGTAAGTATAGTAATATTCCCCCATAGTAAGCATAGTAATTAATCCCCCATAGTAATTAATCCCCCATATAGTAATTCATCCCCCATATAGTAATTCATCCCCCATAGTAATTCATCCCCCATATAGTAATTCATCCCCCATAGTAATTCATCCCCCATATAGTAATTCATCCCCCATATAGTAATTCGTTCCCCATATAGTAATTCGTCCCCCATAGTAATTCATCCCCCCTATAGTAATTCATCCCCCATAGTAATTCATCCCCCATATAGTAATTCATCCCCCCACATAGTAATTCATCCCCCACATAGTAATTCATCCCCCATATTAATTCATCCCCCATATAGTAATTCATTCCCCATATAGTAAGTCCCCCATATAGTAATTCATCCCCCATATAGTAAGTCCTCCATATAGTAATTCATTCCCCATATAGTAAGTCCTCCATATAGTAATTAATTCCCCATATAGTAAGTCCCCCATATAGTAATTCATCCCCCATATAGTAAGTCCTCCATATAGTAATTCATTCCCCATATAGTAAGTCCTCCATATAGTAATTCATTCCCCATATAGTAAGTCCCCCATATAGTAAGTCCCCCATATAGTAATTCATCCCCCATATAGTAAGTCCCCCCCCTGTGTCAATTCACTTACCTTTGGTCCACGCGTTCCTCTCGTATTCCCGCGCCGTTCTGGTCTTCAGGGATGACTGTGAGAGGAGTTCGTCACGCTGCCCCGCCTACATCCTGGCTGCCCCGCCTACATCCTGACAGCTGCAGAGTCCTGACGTCCGAGAGGAGGGAGGGGGGCGGCCATCCGAGAGGGGGGCGGCCATCCGAGAGGAGAGGAGGGGAGAGGAGGAGAGGAGGGAGGGGAGAGGAGGAGAGGAGGGAGGGGAGCGGGCGCCCGGCACACAGGAGAGCCGCATCTAAATTTGTAAAGAGCCGCGGCTTGCCGACCACTGGCCTTGCGGGAGCCTAGCTCCGCGGGCCGGATTAAAAGGTCCGCCGGGCCGTATAACGGCCCGCGGGCCGTAGTTTGCCCATTGCTGCTATAGACATTGGCTGAAAAAGGTGACCATCTTGTGTCTGTGGGTGCCATACCTCTCAGCTTTACATATTTTATATCAGCTTCATATAGAAACGATGTAGATGGAGACGTCTACAAACAATTTATATTATTTATATTCTTTTATATTATTTATATTAAACGTAATGCTCATAAAATTTGAAAAAAAAAAAAAATTAATGAGTTAAAAATGTAGGTACAAAGTTTATATTACAATAAAATGTATACTTATAGTTGGAAGATCTACACTCTTAACATTTTCTGGAGTGGGAAGTCTCTCCCATACAAAAAATACTAAAAATTGTTCTATTTTGACTAGAACACAACTATCTCTGGTCTTGGAGTGAATCTCCACACCTGGCTGGGCAATCAAAATCTGGAGAGCTATTAGGACTCACTGTAATTATTGATCCACTGTATGACTCACTGTAATTTCCTTTTTTCATGTTTTGATTATTTAATTCATATAAAAACTGAAGACAATATGACACAAATAATAGTAATAATAATAATCATGATAATAATATTGGGAACCTACATTCATAACATATAGAACAGTTCAGGGTTGCTGAAAATGTACTATATGACTGGTGGTATGCATCCTTGCTTTGGGTGACAGGACTTGTCAACTAAAAGAAATGGGCTGAAGTCACAACAGTGGACACTTGTGATTTTCTGGGTTTAAACATTGAGCTTATTCTTATACCTGACAGCTCTAGCCACAGCAAACACATTCTTTCTCACTGTTCACATTTGTGACAGCTATCTTCTGGGACCTGCCATGATCATCTAGAAGAGAGTATTGACCTGACTAGATGAGCTATACTTTAAAGTAGACCTATCCGTAATTGAAAAAGTAATTCTACCACTCTTCCTTGTTATTAAAAGCAACTCAGTCTCTCGTTCCCCATGGCTGGATGGCTACTCATTCACTGTAACATTCTGGCAGCTCCTAAGGTGAAAGTCAGCAGAAGGTGTGAGGCCAACCACAAAATGTTTACACACAGGCCATAATATCATCAGGATTTACATGATTACGTTATCTGTGGGTCAGTATCTTAGTCCAGGAGGTAGATGCTGATGATGCCTAAACAAAGATGGTTCTGTCCCCTGTGGAAAATGGAAAGCAAGGACATTCTCAGAAGTACTGTAATCTCTTTGAGAAAAAATAAACTAATACCTTCAAGGTGGCACTTGACATGAAAAATTATACTCATGGCTAGGTCTACTTTAAAGCATGGATGTCTATGATGGAGAAGAACATCAGCACTAGAAATTGCAATGTTAACAGGTATAACTCTGTATCCCTGCCAAAGTGTATTTACGTGCTGCAAATCCTGCAAAGACCACATCCTCATTTTTCAATACCAGAATTATAGATAGTAGTAACATATAAAACATATGTAAATGGTTGATTTTGGTGCACCACAGATTAAAGCTGATTATCTTTTCACTTAGAAGGGCTTGGGCAATAGTCAGCTGGGTCAAATTATGGTCAGGGCTGAGAGGCTGTGCAGATCAGTTCCTTGATACCTCCCTCTACTCTAGAGATTTGGAGAAGATTCTAGAAGCAGTGGGCCGGGGTGAGGAGAAGCTGGTCTGCACTCTTAAGGGATTCTGACCAATCCCCTGGCAGGAGGTTTGGCATGGGGTCAGGACAGCCCTGAAGAGAGACTGAACCTGCTCAGTAGCAGGAGACTTCAGGAGGGTGATGTGAGGAAGCTGAGATGCTGGAGCCTGGGAGGGGGCCTAGTGTGAAGGGGCCTAGCTGCAGGCAGAAAGCAGGAAAGGAAGACTGCTCAGCCTCATCATCCCCCAGATTGAGGACCACCTGTAGAGCCAGGAAAGGAGCCAGCCCAGCAGAAGGCCTGAAGGCAGCCACCTACTTAAATGAGCTCAAAGGACTGAGACTGAGTGAGCAGTCCTACACCCCCTGGTCACTTAAAGGGAAAAGAGCACTCAGGTGGGAAACCTGATTAGCTTCTTACCCGGGACTGTTTCATGTAAATTGGCAGGCATTGGATCCCCTTGCCCAGGGATTCCCTCAGGCAGCTGGACAAAAAGATGATTATCTGGGGTCTGGGGTGATTATTATTATTATTATTATTATTATTACTACGAGTTTATATAGCGCCAAAGGGTTTGCTCAGCGCTGTACAATAGGGGGGGACAATACATGGCACAGTACAACAAAGACAGACAGCGTACGAGGGGTAAGAGGGCCCTACTCTTACGAGCTTACAATCTAGGAGGGAGGGGGTAAAGGTACAGTAGGAAGTGGCTGGGGGGGATGAAGTGGTAGGAGGAATGAGGGAGGATGGCCCTTAGGTGAGGGTGGGGTAGGCTTCCCTGAAGAGATGGGTTTTGAGGGAGCGCCTGAATGTGAATAGAGAAGGCGACAGTCTGATGGATTGGGGCAGTGAGTTCCAGAGGATGGGGGAGGACCTGGAGAAGTCCTGCAGTCGTGCATGGGAGGAGGAGACCAGGGAGCAGGATAGAAGGAGGTCCTGTGAGGAGCGAAGGGTACGGGTAGGGTGGTACCTGGTGATCAGATTGGTGAGGTAGTCAGGGGCAGTGTTGTGAACGGCTTTGTAGGTCAGGGTAAGGAGTTTAAATTTGATGCGTTGGGCAATCGGGAGCCAGTGGAGGGAGAGGCAGAGGGGGGTGGCAGAGGTGGAGCGGGTGGTAAGGTGGATGAGTCTGGCAGCTGAGTTCAGGATGGTCTGGAGCGGGGAGAGCCTGCACTTGGGTAGGCCAGTGAGGAGGGAGTTGCAGTAGTCAAGGCGTGAGATGATGAGGGAGTGTACTAGAAGTTTGGTGGTGTCTGGGGTGAGGAAGGAGCGGATCTTGGCAATGTTGCGAAGATGGAGCCTGCATGTGTTTGTGAGTGATTTGACAACACGAAGAATGTCTGGAGCAGGGGTGGACTGACCATTTGGAAACTCTGGCACTGCCCGAGGGCCCAGGGGCAGTAGGGGGCCCCATGAGATGCCCCTGGTACCTTTTTCATAGGCTTTTATGAGTTTGGGCAAGGACACAGGGGCCCCATGATCCCCTATTACCCGGGGGCCCCATGAGTTGTCAGTCCGCCCCTGGTCTGGAGAGCTCTTCAAGAAGAGTTTCTGCTGTTTAAAGACTTGTACATAGTTGGTAAGGAGTTTTTTCCTCAAGTCACTGTTCCTTGGGCATCCCATACACCCCCTACCCCATCCAAGTTCAATACCCCTTAATAAAACATAAAGCCAAGCTCAAGGACTTTTTACTGACTCTGAATGCAAGTCTGATAAAATGTGTGTTGCCTGGTTGTGCAGGACTATAAGGGGACCGACATCCTCAGCAACTCCTGCGGGGATAGTGGTACAAAAGTTTGGTCATAGGTATTTCTCCAGCTGGTCACATTGCATAGGAATATTGCATATTGCGGGGCTTACTGTACTCCTTTTGTAACTATGCAAATAATTCCAAGATAATGAGCTGCACTTTGTTTATTCTCACAATGCTGGGAGTTTGATTGCCTCCATTAATAACATCCAGTGACTAGACAAAACCGCCACCCCCCCCCCACCATTAGCCTCGTTGGCTGGTGAGCAACACTCTAAAAAATCATTCCCAGTGGACAGTCTGCACAGCCTACTAATGCCATTCCAGTGGGCTTGCTTTATTTTAATAAATGTTGGCTATTGAATGCTTTTGGCAATGCTCTCCTGTAACAGAGTAGATGCCTAATGGGAAACAACATTGCCGGAAAGCTGAGATACTTCACAGAGGGCGACCGAAGTAACTCTGCAAACTATGATGTAGACAGTCTATTTAGGATCATTGTCTTTAATTGCATGTACAAGTTCTATCTCCATTTCAGAAGCTGAAGAGATTTTAATAGCTGTCATTATGATCCATAAAGTAAAGCTAAGCTGCAGAACATTTTTTGACGCTTTAAAAATGTATGCTTTTAAATATTTCAGATTTTTTTTTACACATTATATATTTTTGTACATATACTGTAGACATATTACAAACCTATAAAGGGTTATTTGTCATTTATACTGTATACATATAGCATGCATTTTACTGTAAATTGCAATGATAGTAAAGTGTACCAAAAGCTCCCATTTTTTGTTGTAGATTTAAATAGAGAAAGGAAGGGTTACAAGCCCTATCAGGTTTTATTGCTTTCTTTTTCCCCACTGAGGAGCGTTCTCCTCACTAGCTGTCCCAGGGACACAATAGGAAGTGAGAGGAAATATCTCTACAGTTAGGGGAAAGCCCATGATCATTGCCAAGACATGTCCTTCATCACCCATGATCAAAAGGCCAAAGCATGCATCCGTTCCCGCTCAATAGCTATGAAGTACTTCAGCAGCAAAGCTTGTAGGTCTGCCTATTTTGTACCCCCACTGCTGAAACACCCAAGATGACACAATTTCATGTGAATGAATGAACTACAACTACCATCTGCCACTGCAAATGATGACTTATAGTTCCGAATGATTTATTAGGGCAATGATGAGCGCTCTTGAAGTTCATTCACAAGCCCATATGAAGGTACTGGCAGAAGGCTGCAGGGCTTGTCTGCAGAGGCCTGACCATTGCACCCCTGCTCCACTCATCACGGGTGCAAAGCTTTCCAGGCTCCTGCAGGAAAAAATAATAAATTAAAAAACTTTTTCCTGCAAAAGTATTTGCATTTATTATTTTTCCTTAACCTCCCTGGCGGTATTCCCGAGTGTAGCTCAGGGTAAGTTTCAGCACCACAAGTGGTAACCCTGAGCTACACTCGGGCTTACCATGCGGCACTGCTCCGGGATCTGTTCTTCTGTTACCTTGTCCTGCGCTCCCGCGATGTCCCTCCTGCAGTGTCCCCTGTAATGTCTTCCGGTGAATGCCGGCATCTGTCTTCTGGGTTCCGTCCCCTGTGACGTCAGGACGTACCGGGACGGAACGGCAGGAAATTTGAAAATGACAAAAAGTGACATTCACTAAATTCACTAAAATAACATAGAAAAACCAGGGGCGGACTGACCATTTGGAAACTCGGGCACTGCCCTAGGGCCCGGGGTCGGTAGGGGCCCCATGAAATGCCCCTGGTACCTTTTTCATAGGCTTTTTTTGAGTTTGGCCAAGGACACAGGGGCTCCATGATCCCCTATTGCCAGGGGGCCCCATGAGTTGTCAGTCCGCCCCTGAGTAAAACATTACTGTATCAAAGCATTTCAGATACATTTTGTCCCGAGTGCTTTGTCCTGTGCCATGCCTGCATTTTTACTGTTCTTTTTGCTGAAACTGAGAAATTTGGAAACTGAGAAACGTCCATGGCGTCCAAAAAGCGTCCCTTTAGGTCAAAATCGGTTTTAGACCAGCTAGAGAACAGCGATAGTAAATTAGAACTATTTGCAGAATTGAGTGATAATGATTCGTGGGGAAATTCGTCATCAGACACTGAAAACGATTTTGCGATTTTGCTCAGCAATGTGCGAACTTGGAGCTGTATTTCAAATTTTAGTGTTTTTGGTTTGATTGTATTATTGAATTAAATGTATTATTATTATATTATTATTTTTTTATGATTTATTTATTGAATTATAATTTATGATTTCATGTTTCAAATTTTATCCTACCCGGGATGTTTACTAGACTCTTGTTCGGACAGATTTCAGTGAGTTATTCCTAAAAATTACAAGCCGACAATAAAAAAAATACATATTTCCATGAAAAAAAAAATGTACCACTTTGAGCACAGAAATATGGACATAATCAGACCACTAGGGAGGTTAAAAGCTGAACTTATCCTTTCATAAACATTTGGTTGGGGCTCATCGCTAGTGTTAAACCCTGGGACATGCAAAGTTTACAAATTGCAAACTTTTGGAGGAAAACTTTGCAGGTTGCTCACCACTAATAGGGAACAATCTACAATGCAGTGCATAGCCTCTGTCTCTGGTCAGTTGAGTCACAAAAATCAATATTTTTTTTAATTTAAATTTTTGGCATTGATACATGTTCCACATGGCAGTACCCTGCTTCCCATGTTTGAGAATAGCTTTAGCCCTTTATGCCTACAACGGGCAAAAATTAAATTACAAGACCCAACATCCTCATGATCTTCATTTGGTTTTGCAGTAAAGTTTGTAAACTTTGAACTTCGTAAAACAGTTCACAAATCAAATCCATGCAGATTCACTCATTCCTAATGTTTTTTAATAAGTTTGAGTTACTCTAATATTTACATACTCAACCTCTTTCTAGAATGCAGCCACTTCTGGTTTCATGTAGTTTACTGACACTATAGACCCAAAGGGAACTGAATTCATGAAAGTATTACCAGTGACATTTCTTCAGCTCTCAGGAAAAATAATGTTTTAAAGACAAATAATCTGATGATGTATAATTTTCCCCTGACAAGTTCTCCTTTGAAAAGTCGAAGGTCAGGAAATGCAGCACATAGTGGACATCCAGAACCATCATCACCAAGCCACCAATGCCCTCTGAAAATCCTACAGCACCAATTTGAGTCTGTCTTCAAATTTTAACAGATTGCTCTTCAGAATGTTTATTTATGAATCTTCCAAGCTGTTTTGCAACCATTAAACATGGGAAGAAAACATCGACAAGATGAAGTATCATTATGTTGGAGAAGAGTCGTTTATCATTCTGATTAGGAACTTGGACTGTCAGGCTCAATAAATGAAATGGTCCATTGAAATAATTCCAACCACTGAAGCAGAGCTTGAATATATAATGCTTAATTAGGTGTAGTAGATTAACGCATTTCTTTGTAAAAGTGTTTGTGTTCTACAGAATGAACATTTGAATTAAAACAGAAGCGTACCATAAATTCAGGACACAAATAAAAGACTACAAAGAAGTTTTACTATTAGCATGTGCTGTGAGTTGGAAGAGTTTTATGCAGAAAATATAGTAATTTATATCTGAACAATGCAGCTTTCTTAACTTATAACAACATAATGATGGCAATACTTAACTAATTTTCCACATAAGGAGGCATAACACTGCCTTATGAGAGAAATTATATAATACCAAATGACAGAAGGCCAAGCCATTTAAACAGGGAATTACCGGGTTCCTCGCAAGAACGTCACAGTGCTAAGGGGTCTGAGGAGCCCCATTACAACTCACTTTTTGGAGTGTAGAAGTGGAAAACCCAGATACTCCTCCACTTGGGGATGGACTCAATGTCATTGGGACCACATAACAAAATTCTTGGGATATGCACACCTTGCTGCCCTCAAAGGACCGGGGAGTCCAAATATACTGAAACAGAGAAAAACAAACAGAGAGTGCACCGGCCTAGTGCATTACCTTAAAAGTATGTTTGTTGAATCTTAAAAAATAAGTATTCTACTCACAATAGTCAATAAATAAAAGGCGCATCATGAAGGAACAGCTCTGTCCAATTTGCACTGCGTATCTGTCTTATGATGAGAATTCTGGACATGCAAAAAGCCTTTTGGATGTCCAGAATTCTCATCATAAGACAGATACGCAGTGCGAATTAGACAGAGCTGTTCCTTTATGATGGGCCTTTTATTTATTGACTATTGTGAGTAGAATACATATTTTTTAAGATTCAATAAACATACTTTTAAGGTAATGCACTAGGCCGGTGCACCCTCTGTTTGTTTTACTCTATACACTTTTAGGAGAAAGGAGAACAAACGGGTTCTTGGCAGATTGGACAAGATTTGTGGATATTCACATACTGGAAATCTTTCTGACTTGAGTAAAATTCCAGTCTAGACAAACCGATCCTCTTGTCTCTAGATATGCCACTAGCTATTACAGGCAATGACGTTTGGTTTAAATGTGAATCCAACACACTTGGGCAAAAACCTTTAATACCACATACAAAGCCTCCAAATGTAGCTTCCACTGGGAATCATACATGAAAAGCTTACATCAATGGTATTTAACGCCCGTTAAACTGAACCTATACTACACTCAACATTTGCTCAAGTGCTGGAGACAATGCGGAGAAATGGGAACAACCCTCCATATACTCTGTTCATGTAAATCTCTCAAGTCGTATTGGAATGAAGTATTCCAATTGATCTCTTCCATATCTGGAATCCCGACGATTCCAAGTCCTGGTTTAGCCCTCCTACACATAGGAATTGACAACTTTCCCTCAGTTTCACGTACTATTATAATCCACGTACTAGCAGTGGCAAAAGGCAACATCACCAAATTATGGAAATCCAACCCTTACTGCTGAGCTCAATCTCCATTGTGAAATGGAGAAGAGAACAGCAACTCAGAATTACTCATACAACAGATTCCGATCTCAATGGTCTCGGTGGCTTCAAAACCCTAACTGCTCCATCAAATGACATATATAATAACATAATAATATACTATAGCCAATTCATCCGACTGGTTCCCTCAGTTTCACGTACTATTATAATCCACGTACTAGCAGTGGCAAAAGGCAGCATCACCAAATTATGGAAATCCAACCCTTACTGCTGAGTTCAATCTCCATTGTGAAATGGAGAAGAGAACAGCAACTCAGAATTTCTCATACAACAAATTCCGATCTCAATGGTCTCGGTGGCTTCAAAACCCTAACTGCTCCGTCAAGTAACATATATAATAACATAATAATATACTATAGCCAATTCATCCGACTGGTGCCTCCCTCCCCCCTCCCCCCTCACCCCTCCCTCTACTGGTTATCACACTTCCAACCATAGAAGGTTCATAAGGAACTGAGTATACCTCTCATATATCCGTGGCCTTGTTATATCGTCCCCAGCCAAATGGTGGGGACTTGTTTTTTTCTAATATGTGTTTATTTTCCTGCTGATGCATTTCACTGTATATACCGCTCAGTCCTTATCTTCTTTTCGGTCTGTGATAACATGTTTGTTGAATAAGTTTCAATAAAAATATTTGAATATAAATGTGAATCCACTGCTCCAGTTTCCTGTTAAAGAATACTGTAACTGTAGAGGCTAGGTCCAAAAAAAAAGGTAAGCAGATGACAAAGTACTAATAACCAGGATTACCTGTGTAGCACTATGCTTCCACTCCAAGTCTTGTGAGATTAGCAGTCAGAGGCAGCATTCTCATACTACAGCCATGCAATTAGGAGGCTACAAAATACGATTACCTAGGCGCGGTCATATGTCAGGAAGTGCACTTCTATTTTTTAGGAGCAATTCAAGACAAAGGGTGCATTTTTATGAGTGCTACTAAGGCACAATGGCTATTATTATTCAGGATTTATATAGCGCCAACAGTTTGCTCAGAGCTTTACAATATAACGGGAGACAATACAGCAACAATACAGTTCAATACAAGAGGGATAGGAGGGCCCTGCTCCTTGGAGCTTACAATCTAAGAGATGAACATCTCTAGATTATTCCTATAGTGTGTAATTTTTGAGTTGAAGTTCACTTTAACCAAATTGCTGTATTAAAGAAAAAAAAATTCAGTTAACCACCGCTGTGGCTTACTATCAAAAATATTTAACGTGCGCACAACTAGACATGTGCGGATTGTTTCATTCAGAAATTTGGAAAAAAAAATGTTGTTATTCAGAGATTTAGATCTATCTGAATTTCCAAATTACAATAGTAACGGATTTAAACAAATCCAAAATAAAGGAACAAAATTGCATCTGAAATTCAAATTGAATTGAATTAGAAAAGAATTTGAAATCAAATTTAAAAACAAATTTGATTTGTAAACATATTGCTGACTATTGCTGATTTCCTTCAAAGACTGTGCGTATTAGTGTTAGAATATACCCATCATCCAAAAGTCAAATTGCGAAAAGAATAGAATAGAAAAAAACAGAATAGAAAATAAAAGAATAGCATACAAAATAAAGGAATAGACAAGAATAGAATAGAATAGAAAAGAAACAAAAAAATTGAATAGAATAGAATATAGCCCTTTTCCCAATTTCAAATATAAAAAAGAATAGAATAGAATAAAACAGAATAGAATAACA